TGCTCATAATGTTTGCAATCTTAATTTTTGTAATAGATATTTTAAAATTCCAGTATTCTTTTCATAACATGAAAAATTATGATGGTCATTTAATTATTCAAAATGCGGATAAATTAAGTAACAACAATAAAATAGGTGTCATCGCTCAGAACAGTGAAAAATTTATTAATATCAGTTTTGAAAGTTTGAGTGTTAAAGACACTTTTGGGTTTTTAACTGCTTCATTAGATAAGTTAGTTTCAATGAGTAAGTATGATAATACAGATGAAGAAGATAAAAGTAAATGGTTATTGCGTGAAAACTGGAAAGATAATTTTAGGTTCAGTAGTAAAAATGATGTGATTAAGAGTGAGAAATGTCTAGATTTATTAACTGATAAAGGCGTTTATCCTTATGACTACATGAATTCATTTGATAAATTTGATGATGAGCAATTACCGAGTAAGGATGATTTTTATAGTCAGTTGAGTGAAGAAGGTATAAGTGTTAACGACTATGAAAGGGCAAAAATTATATGGAAGCATTTCGACATTAAGAATATGGGTGAATACCATGATTTATATTTGAAAACTGATGTATTATTATTGACTGACATTTTCGAAAATTTTAGAGATGTATGTATGAAATATTATGGATTGGACCCTGCTTATTATTATACATTGCCTAACTTTGCTTTTGATGCTATGCTTAAAATGACTGGTGTAGAGATTGATTTAATATATGACCAAGAAATGTATGAAATGATAGAAGCGGGACTTAGAGGCGGGATGTGTATGGTTTCTACTAAAAAAGTTGAAGCAAATAATAAATACATGGGAGAAGAATATGATAAAAATAAAGAAAGTAGTTATATTAACTATTTTGATGCTAATAATTTGTATGGGTTAAGCATGATACAAAAACTGCCATATAAAAATCTAAAATGGGATGATACATTAAAAGAAGAAGACATTATTAATTATAAGAATAATAATATTGGATATATTCTAGAAGTGGATTTAGAATATCCTAAAGAATTACACGATTTACACAATGACTATCCAATGGCACCTGAGGTTATGAATGTTAAAGCCAACATGCTGTCAGATAAACAAATTGAAATTTATGAATTTTTAAATCATAAAAAACCTACGGATGAGAAAACAAATAAATTAGTATTGAATTTAAATGATAAAGAAAAATATGTAATCCATATAAGAACCTTACAATTTTATTTGAAGCAAGGGTTAAAACTTAAGAAAATTCATAGAGCAATTAAATTTGAACAAAAAGAAGTTTTAAAACCTTACATTGAGTTTAACACTGAGAAGAGGAAGAATGCTAGAAATGATTTTGAGAAAGATGTTTACAAATTGATGAACAATGCCATATTTGGAAAAACAATGGAGGATAAGCGAAAACATTTAGACTTTGAAGTTGTGAGTGATGAAACTAGATATATGAAGTGTGTAAGTAATCCTAACTTCAAACATAGTCATATCATTAATGAAAATTTGGTTGGAGTTGAAAAGCAAAAAACAAAGTTGAAACTAGACAAACCTATATTTATTGGGATGAGTATTTTAGATTTGAGTAAGCAACACATGTATAAATTTTATTATGACGTTATGAAGCCTAAATATGGAGATAATATTAAAATGGTATATACTGATACTGATAGTTTTGTATTTCATACTAAAACCAATGACATTTATGAAGACCTGAATACAATTAAAAAAGAATTAGATTTTTCAGATTATCCTAAGGAACATAAATGTTATGATGATAATAACAAGAAAGTATTAGGTAAATTTAAGGATGAATTAAAAAGTAAAATAATAACAGGGTTTATAGCTCTTCGTCCTAAATGCTATGCTTACTCAGTTTATGGTGATGATAAAAAATATAAGAAATGTAAGGGCATAGCAAAAGGCACAGTAAGACGTCAAATGAAATATGAAGAGTTTGAGACGGTTTTAAAAACTAATGAGGTTATACATAAGTCATTTAATAGTATTAGAAGTAAAAACCACAGAATTTTTAGTATAACAACTAAAAAATTGCTCTTAGTAGTTATGAAAACAAAAAATATTGGATAGATAGTGTAAACTCACTTGCTTACGGCCATTATAAGATAAATTCTTTGAAAACGACTTAAAGAAATATTGACTTAATATATTAAGAGGAAAAATGACACTGTTTAATTATAGTAAGTGTGAATGTTGTAATAATAAAAAGAATGATATTAATTTTACATTGTATAACTTATTACCTGCTAATCTGTGTAATAAAATAAGTGAATATGATGTATATTGTAATCAATGCTGTATAACAAGAGACCTTGAAAAGTTGTTTGTTGAAGAATATAAGGATAAGGGATATACAAAGTTTCAATTACAATTGACATTCTTTATGAAATATCAAAAACGATGTCCTGTATGTTTTTACCATACAATTGATAGAGAGTCATTTGAAAAAGAAATTGATGAGTTTTTTAATAATAAAGATTTGATTAAAAGGT